CTACTTATAGGAATTACACTTTCAAGTCTTCTCCAATTGTAATCTGGAAACAAGGATTGTGAAATGACCAGATATGCCCATGCCAGGCTGGACAGCAATGAAATTCCAGTACACACAAGTATTCCCATGGCATTCAGTGCTCCCTAGGCAGCTGAACACGTGCCACCAAAATCTACTTTGGTTTGTGCACTTTAGTGGCACCTGAGCATAAGGAGAACTGCAAACTAAGGACAGAATCCAGGTTTCTGAGTTCTTCCTCATTAGCTTCAATCATTGTATTCTCTTTCAGGTACTTGTGCTGTGGAGTAGCAGAGTTCAAACTACAAAGTGACAGCTTACACTATTTATTTTCTGCTATGATCTATTTTTCCACTTCTGGGGTATCAGGAAAAATGTGCACTTGTTCCTGCCCTGGTAATAAAGCTTCAGTTCCCATACATTCACTTTCCTGGGTGATCTCCACATCAGAGAAATGCTTTGCTTGAGACACAGGAGCACCTTCTCTCCTATGAGTCAGCTCCCAGCTTCCAAAATCCCTTAACATACAGGAGTATTTGAAGTGAAATGCTCACATGCCCAGGAATACAGATTTCATAACATAAAAATCATGTTAGTGAGCCTCAAAAGTTCTTTAAAAGAAATCTTGAGTCTTCCTTACTGAACACCCAATGCAGAGATACAGACTCTAGGGATAGGACGACAATCCATCAGTTTCAGAAGCTGTCTTGGAAGAGTCACCCTCATCATGAAAGTGTTTTTTAGGTCACTGCAGGAATTGCAGCACACAAATCCCTCCAGTTATAGCATGCTATTAGTATCAGTGCATTTTTGTTGAAAATGCTTATGATTGGTATGGCATAATCTATTTCTCACTCATTTCTGTAAGAGTTAGATCAGACTTTAAATACTCTCCTCAGCTGCAACAGAAGGAGACACTGGATGTGTGTGACAAAGTCACTGGCCATGGTGTGGGGCTTGGAATTATGTGATACTTAAGGTCCCTTTCAGCAAAACCATTCTGTGATTCTATGGATAACACACAGGCATCAGTCATGCAAGTATGAGAATTTAATCCTCAGAGTCTTGCACAACAGGTTTTATCATCTAAAAGCAGAATATCCTACGCTTTTGTGTGGGAGCTTGCAATTTGTTCACTGAAAACCTAATTCAGCAGTATATACAAACACAAATTTAAAAGTTTTGGTAGCATGAGCTTTAAGTAGTATTAAATATGAAATGCATTATGAAATACAAGTGATTATATTCATCCACAAAGGAGTTTTGTAAACCATTCTACCCAGATATATATACAGCTGGCATGAGGGACAGGATTTATGTGATTCTTACTCCCTTTTCACAGCATTATGACCATTTATTTTTAAATATTGAACAAAACAAAAATAATAACAAGTAATGCCTTTCTGGACAGTGTCCCCTGCACAAAGTACTACCAGTGACTGGCAGTTGTATAGGCATATTTGGATTTCTCCTGATTTGGAGCAAAATGCCACACTGCAATTCTGTATGTACATTGAGGTATCAATTATTAATTCTGTTGTCTTGTGTGAGGCACTGGCTTTTCATTTGCAAGAAGCTGAATCAGTTTATGTTTCTTCCCAACTGAACAGTGGAAGATTTCTATGTGTTTCTGTAAGAGAGGACAAAGAAACAGAGAACCAAGGACTATCAGAGACATAAGGTAAGGAAGCTCCATGTTGTGTCTGGAGAACTAGATTTCACTGAATAAAACAGCATTTTCCATCTACACCACAAGAATAGTTAACCTCTAAAGATTTCTTACCTACACTCCCATCAAAAAGTGTAAAAGCAAAGATATCCTGGCTGTTGTCCAAATTAATGAACTTTGGCAGTAAACACTACTGATTCTCAAGAGACTGTGGGTGAAAAACATATGTTAAAAAATACCAGCAGGTGTACATCAATGGCTATTTTTTAATTATGAGCCTTACTAGCATGTGGGTTTGTCAGGGGAACAGGAAAGCTGAAGAAGAAACTGCAATGTTGTTACAAAATAAATGCATTTTCACTGCAGCATCTCAGGATGCTTTTGGAAATATTTTCTCCTACTATGAACACAAGAGAAAACTGCATTTGCAACAAAGCAGTCTGAAAGTGAGAATTTCTGATGTGAAGATTAAGTGGTTTGCAAATTTTTGCAAATTACTCAGCAACAAAGAGCATCAAGCAAAACTTAAGGTTACCTGGGGAGACCTGCGTCTGTGAAGACACCCTGTCAAATGCAGTTAATGGGCACACCAATGCAATCTTGGTTCTAGCGTGGCAGAGCCATTATAGAACAATTAAATTAGCAACAATGATTCGGTTATGTTCCCTTTTCTGCTCAGTGGTGGAATCCCTCATAGGGAGCTGACAACAAAGGCATGATGAGCCCATTTGGGAGGATTGCAAGAGCTCAGCACCCGGGGAGAGCGTGAGGGTGTCTCTGAGAAACTTACTGTAACTGCAGGGCTGGCCCTGCTTTGAACTGAGCGAACTCCAGAGGCTTCCTGCAATCTAAATCATTTTATGATTCTGTATTGATTTGTTAGCACTCGAGATTACCTGTTGCAATCAAGTAACACCTACTTCCACTTGGGAACAGCAGCGCTGCAGCTCCCTATCCCACCATTCCTCCTGAGAGCTTGGCAGCTCATCCCTGGATGCCCACGGAATCGGTTTTTAACAGAGCAGTCCAGGGTGCACTTAATGTTCCCAGAGATGACAAGCAGCCCACTCTGAAAATGTGAATCCCAGCAGGGATTCTTCCTGCAAACTTTCTGTATGCACTCACTGCCATCTGTGCTGATTTAAACATATAGTGAGAAAGACTCTACACCACAAAATATTTCTTTAAAATCAATATAAAATGGGTAAGAAATTCTAATGTAGGTAAGGGCTGAGTTAGCTGACAAATGCTGACAGGTGAGAATCAAGTCACAGGAATGCCAAATTATGGATACATTGCAAAACCTAAAACTTTATGAAGTACAGGTCTGTTTTGTGTTGTATAGAGGCTGTATCATGGGAACCCTTTGCTTCAATGGACCCAGACCAGCAACATTACCTTCACCCTGTGCCCCAGCGAGGCACAGCAAATTTAAAAATTCTTTTACTCCAGTCATTCATCTGACTCTTTGCTTAGATTTAGACCATTTTTGCTCCTCTACAAGAAATCTGATACTGCCTTTTATAGTTACTCTGTTTCTCCACGACTGACTCTCCTCTCCTCTCCCCTGAGAATTTTAGAAATATTTTCCCAGAATATAAATTAATTTTCTACCAAATATCTCCTTTTCACAAGCAATTATTTGGAAGGAGGAAATCATTCTGGTTTATAGATTTTTTTTATAGTATTCTTGCAAAGTCTTTTCAAATGCTTAAGGCCAGCTGTTCCGGACCCCTGCCTATTTCCAGGCGAGCACAGAGAGGGTTGTGGTTTTTTACTACTGAATATATGTGTGAGCATTACATGACACCATCAACACCGCACTTCTTCAGCTGGAAGGACCCATCCTCCTCCCTCCCTAAGATATTTTGCTGTCTGCAGTACTGGACCTGACTAGATATTTTATTATCTGTACTGGACCTGACTAAATGTTCTTCGTAGTGGCTGGATGGGCTGTCATTGCTGAACTGCATCGGCACCGAGGCCTCTTCTGTTTCTTACTCTGTTGGCACAGTGAACAGACTGGGGGTGCCAAACGGGGGAGCAGGTGACACCATAAAGCAAGGAGAGCAGTGCTCCGTGCTGGGTAACATCCTGTTTCTGGGCAGAGAGGGAAATTAGCCGCCTTTTTCCTGGGAACTGCCATACCCCTGGGGTGTGGACAGTGACTGCCTGAGCACTTGTTCTGGTTTCCTTCTCTCATTTTTGCACATACTGAGCTATTCTTCACCTTGACCTATGAGTTTCCTCGCTTTTCCTTTTCTGTTTCCCCCACACCGGCCGTGGGGCAGAAGTGAGCAGGCTGCCCACAGAGATGGTGGAGTCTCCCTGTTATTCAGGAGCCGCCTGGAAGCAATCCCGAGCCATGTGCTGCAGGCTGACCCTGCCTGAGCAGGGATTTTGGCCCGGATGACCCACAGCGGCACCTCCCAGCCTTTGCCGTCCCACGATCCGCGCAGCCCGCCGGCGTCAGGTGTCCATGGTGTCCATGGTTCCCGTGGTGTCCGTGATGCCCAATGGTGTCCCCGGTGTCCCGGCCGCTCCCGCCCCGCGCCGGCACTGCGCGCGCCGTGCCTCGCGCCTCATGCGCGAATTAGGGACCCGCCCCGCCGGCACGTGCGGGAGGCGCTCGCGCCGCCCCGCGCGCCTATAACGGTCCCGCCGCTCCGGGGCCCCGCGGAGGCTCGGCCGCTGCTCCGCGGCCGCCGCCGCTCGCCCCTCGGGACCCGCGATGTCCCCCTTCCCTCCCTGTTTCCGGCAGCCGAGGGGGCGGGCAGCGGCCCCCGGCGCGGGCAGATGTAGGGGGGGAAGGAAAGGAGGGAGGGACGGAGGGGGTCGACCTCGTACCCCCCCACACCCCCCCGCCCCACACTGGGCGGGGCGGGGAGGGGCGGGGCGGGCGGCGCGTGACGCGGCGCGGCCGCAGCGCGCACCCGCCCCCCGCCGGCCCCCCCTCCCTCCTGCCCGCCCCCCGCTCGCGCCCCCCCTCCCCTCCCCTCCCCTCCCCTGCGGCGGCGGCGGGCGGCGGCCGCGGTGCATTGTGGGCAGCCCGTTGTTCATTTGCCACCCGACCCGATCCGGGGCCTGTCGGGACGGAAGCGCTGCCGCCGCCGAGCGATCGAGCGGGATCCATTGTGGGCAGCCCCGCGCCCGCCGCGATCCAGGCCGGACCCGGGGAAGCGGGGAGCGAGCGGCCGGACTTCGCTTCTCTCGGCCGCCGCCCCCGCACGGCAGCCGGGCGCCTCCTTCCCCCGCCCCGTTCCCGCGGCGGACGGAGCGCTCGGCCGGGCGGGGGGCGCGGGGCGCGCCCGCCATGTTCGCGGAGATAAACCGGCGGACGCTCGCGTTCCGCGGCGGCGGCCTCGTCACCTCCGCGGCGGCCGCCTCGGCGGCGGGGGCCGAGGCCTGGGAGCGGCAGGACCCCGAGGCGCTGAACGGGCGCGGGGCGGACGAGGAGGCGGAGCTGGAGGGGCTGGAGGCCGAGGAGCTGGAGGCCACCGCCGCCGAGGAGAAGGAGCTGCTGCTGCCCCAGGACGCGGCGTCGCCCCCCGCCGCCGCCGGCCCCATGTTCGCCGAGAGGAACCGCCGGACTCTGGCCTTCCGCGGCGGCGGGGGGCTTCTGGCCGCCCACCCCGCCGCCAACAATGGCTGCGAGGCCGCGGCCTGGCCGCGGAAGCACTTCAATGGGCGGGGGGCGGACGAGGAGATGGAGCTGGAGGGCGCGGAGGGACTGGAGACCGAGGGGCTGTTGGAGGGCAAGGAACTGGTCCAGGACGGGGGTTCGCTGAGTGACAGCAGCGACGACGAGGAGGACGGCGAAGGAGGCAGCCTGGGCGACGGCAGCGGCGCCGAGGGCGGCAGCTGCAGCAGCAGCCGGCGGTCGGGGGGCGACGGCGGGGACGAGGCGGAGGGCAGCGGCGAGGGGGAGAGCATCCGGCACTTCCCGCTGGCCAGGCCCAAGTCCCTGCTGCAGAAGCTGCACATCTCCTTCCAGGGCTCCTGGCTCAAGGAGTTCCCGTGGCTCTACTACTGCCAGGAGACCGGCCTCATGTCGTGCGCCTGGTGCACCGCGGCCGTGGCCGCTGCTGCGCCCCCCGAGGTGATCATGTCCGGCGCGCCCCTGCCCGGGGGGCACGACGAGCTCTGCAAGGGCACCCGCAACTACAAGCGCACCCTGCTCCTGCGGCACCACCTCTCCGCCGAGCATCGCCTCAACGAGCCCGGCAGCGCCGAGCAGGTACGGCACGGGACGGGCACGGGGCGGCGGGGACGGAGGGAGGGAGACAGGGAGGGGCAATCCCGGCCTCCCCTTTGCATAGGTGAGGTTTTCCTGTGCTCACGTGTGTGAACTTCTCTAATGGCTGCTCGTGGTGGTTGCTGCCCGGCGGGCTGGCCACGCCGCGTTGCTCTCGCTCGCCGCGTCCGGAGCGGGGGACGGGCCCCCTCTGGGATTTGGGGCGACTCTCCCGCTGGATGTGGGCAGGCACACAAACGCAGCACGAGCTGTTGTTTGTGGCTGCATTCCGTTCCCGTTATCCGTCCGGCCCTGGCGAGTGCCGCTTTCATTAGTTCGTCTGTTTATCTCTTGAAGATAAACCGGCGATGTGGGAAAAAAGTTGCGTACGAATCCCAGTGTCACAGCACTGATTTAAATACGCTCGTTACAACTTCCTCCTGCGGTCCGGGCGGAGGGCGGGCAGTGTCCGGCCAGCGACCGCTTGTGAAATGGGGACTCGCCGGCGTGGAATTGGAATCGCTCTGCCTGCTTAGCGGTGTGGCCCCGGTGCACTAATCGGATAACTCTGTGTATTTAAGTTCTTCGCGCTGAAATCTTTTTTTTTTTTCCCGATTGCGTTGCCTTAGATTGCGTTGCTGAGCAAGAAGTCTGCAATCGCTTGGTGTGTGTTTGAGATAAACATGTGGTTTCCTGAAAGCCGTGTTACTATGCCAGCGCTCCTCTAACGCTGTAGGAGTAGTGAAACTCTTCACGTTCCCCGCTGAACTTCAAATCGCTGTGTTTCTTGGCTGCTTTCACGAATGAGGCAGGGCTTGCCCTAGAATATATGTGGATGAAAAGCCCCTAAAGAATACTTAGGTTGAATCCGCAGCCTTCTGCAGCCTTTTCTCCTAGGGATGCCTGCGCTGCTAAAGTTCGATCCTTCGCCGGCGTTAAACTTGCCTGCGGGCACTAACTAAGTGTTGCTTCAGGTTAGGCTAGTCCCTGAATTGTTAGGCTGTTAGCCGGAATTAATTGATTCGTCACTCCGTTTTTCTGCATCTAGAATTCCGTTTTAATTGAAACACCCACCTTGGCTGGGTAGCTTTATTTGGCGTCTGAAATGTAATGCGGTGGTTAGATTGAGGTTATTGCTTGAGCACTCTTAAGGAGCTCAGGGTACCTTGGACAAGAGCTGCTAGTCAAATGTTGGGGCAGGATATCAGGATTACAGGATGACTGATAAAACATCAGGTGAACGTTAAGGGAAACCTTATGGTGCGCAAATACCAGTTATCCAAAATATTATTTTTTGGATTTACAAATGCAACATTCACCTTCAAGATGGTTAATACTACCTTTTCAGCGAGTGCAGTTTTATAGCAGCTACTCTTACAGATATTATGTGGTAGTAGGTCATCTTATCAGTTTTCTTCAGTCTTCTGGGGTTTGCTACTCACTCTGCAGTGTTTTAGCCAAACTTGCTTTCAATTAGTTGCTTCTAATTAAGAGACTTATATTCTTAGTTTCTTTTACTTCTTCATATCTTTGAAAGTGTTCCAGTTTTGCATAATGCTATTGCAGTGTGTTCCTTACCGTCCTGTTGCCTAGTTTCTAACTTTGAGTTGTGAATGATTACTTTGTAGAAGTATGTTCTGTCACTGTGTGGCCTCCTGTGTTAGTGGATGCTGTTAATCCGTGCTACACTTGGAAGCTTCTCTCTGTCTGTTTTAGCTGTATTTAAATAAAAGCTATTCCAAGCATTCTTTCTCTACTCAAATAACTACTTTTTTTCTTTCTCTCCTCTTACCCGAACTCTGTTGCAAAACTGTTAAATACTGGGAGGGTGGAAGGGAGGACAGAATATTGGCTTGTTATCACAGTAACCTACAAGTTAATATAAGTTTGTATTTGATGATTGTAAGTGTTTATTTGAAGACCTTTCATTGCCATGGGAATATTTGTAAAAATGAATCTCTGCTTTTGTACCACTGATAGTTTAAGAAAAAAAATATTTGGACTAACTGTGATAATAAATGAAACAGTAGGATAGATGAGTCAGTGGTTCTTCACTGTACAAAAGATAAGGTTGGGACAAAGGTAGATGTAAAGAGACTTTTTTTTAGTGGAAAACAGTGCTTTGTGCATCCTTCTGCAGTTACATTTCAGTTAAAAACTTCTCACGAGGGAAGGAGTTGCAGTTTTTCAGGAGTCAGTGTAGTTTTCTTTGTGGCGCACTTTCACATTACAGTTGCTTTATCAAAAACCTGATTAAGAATCTGTTTTCTTTCCCTTCTGTGTTTAATTTCCGTATCCTTTCATAGGCTTAATGGCACTTGAATTTCTTTTGATACATATGTTTAAATTAATACCAAAACAATAGCCCCATTTTTTTTCTAAATGACGTGATACCAGATACTTGGAACAAAAGTAGGTAATTTGTACCCTGACCGTATTTCCAACATACATAATGAGGCAGCAAAGCCGTTTAGATTTAATGAAACTTGGGAGAGATCTTTCAGCCTTTGTGTTAGAGACAGCACACATGTATTACGGACTTGACAAGCCTCAACTGCAGGGCATGTTCAGCAGCTGCTAATAAACATATGGCATAGTGCCACCACTCAAGAGCAGAAAGGAAATTGTAGGTGTTAAGACAGTAAAGCGGTGGAAATTTCTATAGGTCTGTTGGATATTACACTCGTGAAGAAACAAGTGATGATTTCAGTTTATTTTTGGGATACATTTAATTTGGAATGCCAAAATCCATCACAAGTGGTTGCAGCTGCTGTAATTCAAGGGTATTGAGCTGTCAACCAGTGCTTCTTTCTAAGACCAAATTCTTGAATCTTTTTCTATTCTAGTTTTTAAAATAATTTTTCTCCACATTAAAGCTTAAGGAAATCTGTCATCATCTTTAAACTACCTTTGTTTTTGTAGTGAACAGACTACTGTGTTGCAAGAATCTTAAGAAATGGATGCTTAGTGGGAAATTATGGCAAAATATTTTAATTCTTTGATGAATTTGGGTCCATAAGATGCAGATTTATTGGCTGCTGGGGATTCCTCTCCTCAAACCATCTTCTTAAAACATTTTCTTTCTGGACATAATTTAAAGCTAAGCCTTGGAAATACTGCCAGAAAAGCTTTCTCCAGTCTAACAGGCATGTTGGTTTAAAGCAGAAGCTCTCCAAAAGGAGGAAGGCCTTTGATGTGTTATTTTTTCCATGTGAACTGGAATTGTTTGCATTATGTGAGCAGTGATGAATGGAAGTCATGCTTCAGATGTTAGAGTTACATTACAGTGTTCTAAGTTCACTTCTTGACTTACTCTTAGCAGAGTGAAGAAGTTGAGGAGGAAGTCAGGACTTAAAGTAAACAGTATCACTTAGTGTGTTTTTATTTAATGTTTTTATCAAACCTCAAACTACTCAGTTTGATATTAGGCAATTAATGAAATAATTTGAAATGACCGAGTTGTCTGTGAGTGGTGCTGTATGGCAGTGGAGCATCGTGTGCAACTGATGGGACCATGTTTTGAGATCATTTTCCTCTGCATGTGGTTAAGAAGCTACTGATAGCTTAGAAGATACATTTACCAGAGTAAGCATTAATTTGGGGGCACAGGGAGCTGTTGTAGAGCAAGATGTGGTAGTGGGGAAGGGATTAAAAAATGTGGCGTAATTACTTTTCGTATGCATGTAGCTGAGATGTGATCTGGGGTTAGGTTGGTTTGGGTTTTTCTTAATTCTTCCTGCCCTCACTGTCCTTCCAGGGACAGAATATGCTGATGGAACAGTGGGAAAAAGAAAACTAAACAAACTAAACTTCTAGTTGCAATTTTTGATCATCTGTTTCTGCTCCTGTTAGCTTTTGGGCAAGTTTAATTAATGAATTATACATATAACATAGTAATTTATCTTAGTGTGTATTCTTTTGAAACTGAGCACAATATCAGTTTCCTTAAGCAGTCTCTGTTCTGTTACAGCACTTCTTAATCTCACCCACAGAGAGATGTTTTTGACTTAGAGCACTGAAGAGTCCATAAATTGAAATGAATTTGTGCTGATTTTTATCTTTTATTCCTTACTAGTGTTTATTAAAGGATGAGGTGGTTTGGTGTTGGGGTAATTTAGTTGATGAGAATATGGGGTCTGTATTCTGAAAATATAGTTGATATCTAAGCAAATATCATTAGTTTGTTGTTCTCATTAGAAAAATCAAGAACCCATATGATGATGTGTCATGTAAGTTACAGACGTTTGAAAATACACTTTTTCCTGTAATTATTTTCTGCATCTTGCCTCCTGTTGAACTGTATTGTTTTTTTTCTGTATCAATGTCTAAATTTCTCATAGTAATATTATTTTGTCAATTTTTCTCATAGTAAATATCAGTTCTACTTGTCATACTTGGTGTACATAGACTTGATAACTGCTCAGATGTCAGGACTTCATTTGAGTTGTGGCACTAGGGTTAACTGTTGTACCATACCAGCAGTAAAACAGTTGGTTGTAGTACTGCAGTTAGTTTTAAAAATGTTTATGCACCCACATTATAGTAAAGCTATAATACTAATTAAAGCTGTAATACTGATTGATCTCTTTCTCCAACACACATCCCTAATAGCTTGGACACAGGTTGCATAATATCTCATTTTTCCACTCAACCTTCTGGTCTTGTCACAATGAAGATTTCAGTCTTGTGTTTTTGTAGCACATTTGTGATCTGCAGCTGCTCTTCACTATCCTGGCTTGTCCTGTTCTCAGGAAACAAAAACCCCACATTGTAAATATAATTTTTTTTTTTTTGTCCCAGCTTTATTGGGTACTTATACTTGCTTAGTTAACATGTACTCTCTCTCCATTATTTAATCAGGCGTTTGTCAAAAGAAAAGAATTGCTGCAGGTTGTTTTTTAAATTTTCTGTGGTGTTTAATGTGTTCTTGGGAATGAAATTGGCAGCTCTCATAGCATCTACCTAACATTTACTGTGTGAGGTGCAAGTCACTGGTGATTGACGAGCATGACAACACTTTAGGGTACTGTCATTTTCATCTTAATCTGATCCAGTGTCAGCGTAATTGGTGTTTTGAAACTGTGCAGTGCTCCATTGCTAAAGTGACAGGAAGCTAGTCTAGAACCAAAATCTGCTGAGAGCTTGGAGTGACAGCCTTAGCTGTCCCACACCTGGAGCAAACCCTTTCACAGCCTTCATCCGAGATAGTACTTGGGGTGTGTCACAAAGTACAGAAACAAAATTAAGATGAGGTGGGCAAAGATCTACTGCTTGTTTTCGCATAAAAGCCTAATTGCTTTTATTCCTTTTTATTTAATGAAGTGTTTTTCTGAGAAGAGTAGAGATTCAGAAGCAACTTGAATGTGACAGCAAACTGAAATTTCTCTGCAGGAGGTTCTGAAATGGCACAGTTTGTTTTGGTTATACCAGGCCTTTTTTGCTGCTTATGTATGTAAACACCATTTTAGATGTAGTTACAGCCTCAGGTGTCATTCCAGTGATCCGCACTGGGATTATAAATTGACATGAGTACTGATTTAATCCACTAAGGGTGGAAAGTGACTTTTAAAATATATGTAGCTGGTTTCTGCTGTAGTTTCAAATTAGGAGTAGTGCTGTCCTGTAATGTGTATTTTAATTCCAGCATAGCTTATGGGTTCATGACAGTGCTAACATTTCCTTCTTAATACTGATTTTGACCTGTAATGTTGAGGCAGGTGAGCTTTAACACCACCTCTAGTTCGCTAATCAGTGAGGTGTTTTAGGAGCTGAGAGAAGAAAATAATGATTTGTCTTGGAACTATCCAGTTTTGGGCTTTCCTTGTTTGCTAGGAAAGAAGAGAGAATCTTGGGGATAATAGTATGAAACAGACTGTCATTGTTGCTGCTCTTGATGGCAGCATGTGTCAACCCATATAAGTATGGTCTCAAATATGCCAGTCTGTGTTTTCTGCTTTCTCCTAGCTGCTGCTTTGTAGCATCTCTGAATCATCTTTAACATGAGTTAGAAGTCTTCTATGTGCTCTAAAATCCAGTTCAGATCTCTTGATCTCTCCTTGTCCTCATTTTAATAATGAATTATGTCTTGGTGTTGGATTTTGTGAAAGTATTAGGTTTTAGCAAAATTTTGAAGCCTTTTTTGAGATCACATCTTAAAAAGGCTGTGTGTGTGTAATAGTACTGTGCTAGTGTTGCCACTGGAAAGTTTGGGAGGCTTATTTCAAGAAAGTCTGAGGCAAGTAATGGAAGCTTAAGTCGGGAGTTTTTTTGTCCTCTGCAGTATTTTGTCTGCTTGTTATGTGATACACTGTTTAATCCTAAACCTGCTGCAGTTAAAAAACAAAGGATAAATACTTAATTTGTCAAACTGTATAAGAAATACGTTTGCTGTTATATCTCCTTTAGCAATATGTTTTCTTTAAAACATTCAAGACAGATTGGGACATACAGGCCTAATCTATGTCTGTTCATATCTCAGCATGAAGAAAATGTTGAATCACTTATCCAGATTCTGCTTAATTGTTTAAGTGGAGATTTCTGGGGAAGAACAAGGGATTGGATATGTAAGAATCATGTAGTTAAATCTTCGGAAACAGAAGCTCCTGAATCTTTAGTATATGTGGGTTAGGAATAACAAGTACTTCACACTCAACTATATATTTCCTTACTTTTGGCTGAAATTTCCCTTCCTTTGCCCTCAAGGCAAATCTAGCTCTGTTTGTTTTAAACTTGGGGGTGGAAGGTGCAGAATGAGAGCATGATTTTTAGTTTTCAGAAATATCTTGTTAGTTATATATTCCTGTCTGCCTTTGTGACCAAGAACATAAATAACAAAAAAATTAGTTTGATTAGAATAATCTTATTTATTTTCATATCCTTATTTTCATGTTTAACTAAGGAGAGCATTTAGTAAGAGCTAATTATGTTTGTGTGGCTTTTTTAATTGCAGGAGGCAGAGTTACCATCAGAACTGAATAATGAAGGATACTGTGATTTTAACAGCAGGCCAAATGAGAACTCTTACTGCTATCAGCTCCTGCAAGAGCTCAACGAGCAGAGGAAGAAAGGCATTCTTTGTGATGTTAATATTGTGGTGAGTGGGAGGGTCTTCAGAGCTCACAAGAACATCCTGGTTGCAGGCAGCCGCTTCTTTAAGACTCTGTATTGCTTTACAAACAAAGAAAGCCGTAACCAAACCACTGTTACCTATTTAGACGTTGTTGCTGTTCAAGGTTTTTCTGTCATCTTGGACTTCTTGTATTCTGGTAACCTCGTGCTTACGAGCCAAAACGCCATTGAAGTGATGTCGGTGGCCAGCTACCTTCAGATGACGGAGGTTGTCCAGTCCTGCCGCAACTTCATTAAAGATGCCTTAAACATAAGTATAAAATCAGAAGCTCCAGAGACTGTTGTAGTGGATTACAACAGAAGATCTGTTAGTAGGGATGGTTTATCTCCAAGGGATCAAAAAGTTGCCAGCTTCTGGGCAACACGAAACCTCACCAACTTGGCAAGTAGCATAAAAACTGAGAACGATCCCTACCCTATTGATGAGGGCCAAATGGAAAGCTACCAAATGAATGACTGCAGTTGGGTCCAGGACAGCTCACCTGAAATGGCTGAAAATGAATCTCAAGGTGAGGGAAAAGTTTTTGTGTGGAATGACATGGGTGCACAGGGACAATCAGTTCAAGAACCTGGAAAAGCAAGAAGGAAAAACCAAACTGCAAAGAGATTTATTTATAATGTACCACCTAATACTGAAGAGAACTCTGAAGATTGCTCAGTGTTGCAACCGTCAGTCCCATATCCAGAAGAAGATTTGTCATTTATTAAAGAAGAAGCAGGTAAATATTGCATAATGTCAATTATGTCATTTGAAAATGAAAGTATTGACTGCAGTACCTGACTACATAACTTTTGGTTTTTTATTTTTTAAATTATTATACTGTATGAATAGTTAATGTATGTATTTGAAGTACTGTCATTTGCCTGCCTCACTTTTTGGTGAATTAATAGTTTTGAAAACTTACTGCAATTTAGAAGCCAGGTTAGGGGTGAATTTGAGACACAGCTGGACCAAAGTTCTTTAGATGTCTGTTGTTTCTAAAGCAGTTTAAAATGTATGCCTGCTTCAAACATCAAGGAACTGTGGATGTCTCCTCCAGGGGCCCCGCTCTGCTCCTGCCCACGGACGAGCAGTGGTCCCACAGGGGGCACGTGGGGACCCACGGCCATGCTGTGTGGTGCCAGCGCTGCCTGGGTGCTGTGGTGACACGTGCCAGTGCAGAGCAGCGTGGGGTGGGACTGGGGATGTGTTTCTCCAGTGCAAGAGACCTTCATGTGATTAGTGAGTAGTGTGACACAACAGAGCAGCTCTGGAGAAGCAGCTGTGCTGGGGAGCACTTCTGCAAATGCCTCTCACTTATCTCTGGTCTTCATCTCTGAACTCTGGGTAGGTCTGCTTTAGCTTTACTTGAGAGTTGTGCTTGTGAAGTGAATTTCCTGTACTTCTGTTACTGGCTAAGCTTTGTTAGGCTGCACAGAATTCCTTCTGGCTGAGCCCAGGATGGAAGCTGTTTCAGGAATGTGACGGTCGCTAATATGCCTCAGGTCCACAGCACCAGGTTAGATCTAGCCCAAGTGAAGCCCTGTAGCTGCAGAGAGTGGGGGTTGTTGAGTCCTCAGCACCCACACAACAATTCTGCCTCTGCTGGGCTACACTGCTTGCTCTAGTTGCAGTGCCACGAAAAAGAACAACAAAGTCTGGAGCAAGAGCTGTGGGTGTGTGTATTAGCTGCACAAATACAAAATTTCTGACACAAATTAGCATGTGATTTTTATTGATGATTTATAGGGGGTTAGTATTCAGTGTCTTACTGATGGAAATGCAGAGAATATGCATTTGATGGCACCAACAACAAATATAATTAGTTATTTGGATTCTGTGAAATTTTGTATGTGTGCTGTGAAGTTTTCTTGGAGAAATAATGGAGGGCATGGGCAGTGCAGTATGTTTAGTCCTTGTTTTTTGTTGGGTTTTTTTGTTTGTTTGTGGGGTTTTTTTTGACGGAAGCACCAATGTTTCTGGTACCTTGTTATGCTAAAGAATTAAATTACAAAATACATTCATGTAGCATTTTGATGAAAACAACTGTATTGGAGACAGATCATACTGAATGTGTTGTGGTGTCAGTCCAAAACCATTGAAAGTTCTGTGGCCACGGGGGAAAGTTTATTTTACTGAGTTCTAAATTACTAGTCAACTAGTGATCTCCTTGGTATTTTCAGAGCACACCATATGTGTTCCTAAGTACATAATTACATTTTCTGTCAGGGTCAGAATTCTTTTGGAAGCCTTATCTAATATTTTTGTAAAACATCTTCACTTTTACTAAGTTCTTGAATGCATATTGTTTGAAACAAGAAGAGTGACTGAAGCAGGACTTGGTATAACTTACTTTTCACCCATAGACTGTTATTCAGCCTTTGGTATTCTTTCTCTTCTGCTTGTGGCTCTTTTTCTTTGCTTTGCAGGTCGATTCCACTCTTAAACACTCTTCTTTTAACTGCTCCCTCTATGCCAAAGAAAAGGTGGAAGAGGGAGGAGTGCAGAGTTGGAAGAATGTCAAGAATGAGTTGTAGAGTAACCTGCAGGTTACACAATAACTTTTTAGTTTTGGATTAAATTTCCTGTGGGGATGAAAAACTACCAAAAATAATAGGCACTGAGAGGTAAAAAATCCATAAGAAAATGTAATCTGGAATAGATATAAGACAATTCTATAAGAAGAAAAATAAAGAATAATAAATTCTTACATTCAGAGCTAAGGAGCGCACTCTCCTGTTGGTTGCTGAAACGGAAACAACGAACTTCTACTATTATGCTTTGTCATGTTCTGGTGGGGGTAACACCAGCGGTTATGAACTGTCAGCTACATGCAGGGGGAGTTTCTGTGCCCTTGGTTTAGGTTTGGGTTAGTCTGGTGCTTTTATGATGATACTGTAGATATGGTGGAAGAGACGCCTACTTAAGATCACTCCTCTCACTACAAACATTTATCCCTGAAGCCACTTCCTTGAATTCTATAGTAAATGAATTTTCCAGTTGGGTACAGTTGGTAAGTATTAGATAGTAAAGAGTAAAAGCTTTCTGAAGCATCTGCTACCCCTCTTGTTCCAGTAAAGCAAATATGTTAAACTGCTCCTTGCTGAACATGAGTTTTTCTACTGATATCCAATAAGGATATGTCAGCTGCTTCTTCCTCTCACCCTGTGTTGCTCATGCCTTGTGAAGGCTGATGTAGAATAGAGGTTAGATGGAGTTAAAGAATAAAGTAGGTATTTATTAAAAACCCTCAATGGACACACCTTGAGCAGCACAAGACCTCAGCCGTGGCTACACCCAGGATGAACCCAAAATGGCCACAAAATGGACAACTGGCCACGTGGTCTCACACTCTTATAAGTTCAGGTCTATTTGCATATTGGAGTTAATTGTCCAGTTACAGCTTTAGGTTATGGAGTCCCATCCTTCTTGTTTTTCTGTCTTCAGTAGACCATTGTTTATGCTTTTGGGCCTGAAACTTAGATCATTTGTCCTTGGTCCCCAGCTAGAGAAAGAATTGATTTGTCTACCTGCTCTGTGAAGAGAGCTTACTATCCCCCAATATGAAGCTCAGAACTACACCCTAAAGCAGTACAGAATCTGAAAAGTATAAAAGCTAAAACCCGAGGCATCATTGCCAGTGAGTTTGTTTGACACCATCCCTGTACAAGTATCATGTTGGTGAGCTTTAGAGAAGCTTTAAAAATTTAAGATAGATTTCAAATTCCTTGTGCTATCTTAGATTTACTTATATTTTACTTAGGTTTTCAAGACTTCTATATATTAATTAAAGTAGCTGTTTTAGTTAAACATGGAATGTTACCACTTATCTCAGTATTTTGTCTCCTAGTTGATAATCTGCTAAAAAGGTCTTTTACTGTTTACAGCCATCATTCATCCTACAATTAACCATTTACCGTAGTGAAAATAACCATGCAGACAACATATTACAGTCAGTGTTAGAGTGTGTTTCAAAAGATCATAAAAGCTCAGTGAACATAATTCATCATATGCTTAATGTCTCTTCATGGGGTGATTTTGTCAATTTTCATCACTTCTTGGGTATGCCTTTCATCTGGGCGTGGTGTTTTTGGTTTGTTTTTTTTTTTTAAAAAGTCTGTCCTATCCTCAGACTTCAGAACACAGCTGTGAAGTGTTGCTTATGCTTTCTGGAACTGACTGTGTTGATTTTTAGGACACTTGCATGCAATAGCCCAGTAGCTTTATGAAGCTATAAGTGTGTAAGTTGTTATTGTGATTTTCAGGCTAGGTTATGCTGTACTCTGATGGGGGTGAGGGAAAGGATAACAAGGGCAGGATTAAAACAGCCCACAGTGGAATGAGAGGGTTCCTCGCTGATATTGTAGGGGTTCTTAAGGAATTAATTCAGTTTGCTGTAGAAACAACTACTTTTCAGAAGGATACAAACAGAAGCTAAACCTGCTTACAAAAAATGTAGTGCTGGTCCCAGTGTTTGTCATGATGCAAGGGAGGAGCATAACACAACTTGATTAGGCTTTACAATAAAGCAGGTATCTTTGTATTTGAAGAAATCAAGATTGATGGACTTATCAGGCCGTGTATATTTCTTGTAGGGATAAACCCCACTTGACTGACTGTGTTACAAAAGAAAAAAGAATTGTATATTTTTCCTGCTTTTCCATGGTACTCTAACTCTCAGTCATATTTTTGTTAGACCTTAAGCTGATGCCTCAATTAAAAGATTTTAGTTCCTTGATGTACCTTTAACCACTTTATTTGCCCCATTCCCTATGTAATCCAGTATTGAAGGTGTCAAAGGTTTTTAGAAGTCATCTGAAAAAATCTGAGGGTCAACGTCTTCCCCATTCATTCAATTTACCTCTCCCAGGGATCATCCCAAAGACAAGCAGATTCCCTCCTCACAATCTTACAGTATGGTCTGTCCCTGAGCCTACAATTCCAGGCAGTGTTTTGTGGGTTTTTTTTGGGTTTGTTTGTTTTGTTGTTTTTTTTTTTTTTTTTTGTGTGGGTTTTTGTTTGTTTTTTTTTGTTTGTTTGTTTGTTTGGGGTTTTTTTTTGTGAATGGGTTGGGGAAGAAGGTTTTGTGGTGTCTACCGATCATCTCTGCCTGAAAGTCCCTTTGAGTCCCAGTGTAATGCATTGACTTACTAAAAAGGATCCATGAGAACATTTAACTCCCCCACAAATAAATGGTCTGCATGAGGAAAGTTCTTGACTTTCTTGTGTTTCATTGGTGTAGTTGTTGGAGGAGATCAGTAAAATAGCTTTCAGTTTCTTGGGAAGGAATTTTTCAGGGAAGGTATAATCAAGTGGAAAAGCAAGTGCATAATATATTTGGCATCAGTTAGTGGTCTTCTCTCAGGGGTAGTTGATGCTAAATCTGACTACATAGTTACAGCAATATACCACATTTTCATGAATGAAAAATAGTAAAAATTGAGAGCAATTTGGAGCAATAGAGTATAAGTAAGATTGCATTGGCAAAATGTCTTAAGTATGTCTGAGCCCTCTGTTGCAAGGGGCAGTTGAGCAGTAATGTGCTTCCAGAAGCCTTTTCAGAAGAAGCAAGGTTAAAGATGTAAGGAATACTCTGGGAACAAAGGGAGCTCAAGATACTTTGTTTTCCCCACCTTCCTAGTATGTCATTCTTGGCAGTGCTGTTTCCTCTGTCATGTTACCTAACATAAGCAACAAATCCAGCTCTCTAATAGCAATCCAGATTGTATCAGTAGATTACTACTGCTTTCTTTGCAATCCTTGAAAGCTATGGCCTAATCACTTATCCTGTCTACTTTGTCTTTTTTAATTGATTAGATGACCAGTCAGTGTCAAAAAAATACAGTGAAAAATAGTATTTATTTTTCTCTTATTTTGGCACTGTTTTCAGTGCTAATATATGTAAAGAAAACAGGAGTTCACTACAAACAGTTGTATCTAATGCAAATTTTTGTATCTTTTCCCTCAGTGCACCATATGTGTGTCCTTTTCTGTAATGCCCTGTTCAATGGCTTCTGTCACTGAACTTCTCATTATTTCCCATATCATCACCTACTCAGTAATGTATCCTTTTCTGGCCCCAAATCTGTATATTTCCTCATATGAATCAGAAAAAGAGTGAAATTTGTCGAACTAAGGGTACTTCTGGCTTAGACATGTTCTCTCTTTCTGGTGGTGCATGCCTACTTCTTGCCTTCAAAACTGAAGATCATTGTATCTGGCTTCTGGTTATCCTTTTTCCTGAGAACAAATGCAGTAGAACATAAAATCCTTTCACAATGTTTTTGATAGCTTTTTTTTTTAGTGGTGTAAAAGCTATACAACCACTTTATTTTATTTCACACTGTCCTATCTCTTGTCAAATCAACATAGTGTGAATTTTAGTGCTGATTGTTAAGGAGTTTCTTTGTGTTCTGTTGTATTTTTTATTTTTTGTTGTTTGGCTTTGCTTGTTGTTGACTTTTATTAAAGATCCCATTACTGATATCCTTTTATTCATGCAGACTAGAAGAATGGGTAAATATTTGAGGTTAATCGACATTTGGATTATTAACTTACACCTCTTAGAAATCAACCAAAGTGTAAGAAGGTTACCTTAGATCAGAGAAAAGTTGTGATCAGATGGTTTAGTCTGGAGACACAGAATATTATTGCTTCTAATTAGCTTTTTCTTTTTTTCTCAAAGGTCTGCCTTACCTGTCTATACTTTCCCCCTTTGCACCCTATCCCCAGTCTACCAGTATGACTGTATCCATAGTTGCTTTCAGCCTCCTATCAAGAGGCTGTCATCTGGCTTTGAAGTGACCAGAAAAGGTCAGATGATAATTATGTCTAGTTTTGCAAGCAGGTTTCAGGGGGCAGTTGTCCCGTTCTCGGCTGTTTTAATGGCCTGGACTGGCTCGGGATGGCCTTGGGGCAGCCCGCGCTCCAAAGGATGAAAGGAGCCTTCAGGTTTTTCAGTTCTTCAGTGCTGTTTATTAATTCTTATCTACAATATTTTCTCACGGCCCGACAGAGGTCCGCACAGCAAGCCAGCCATGGACACACTGACTGCCCTCGGGGCGGTCACTTATCTTTATACCCAAAACTACGTGTAAGATATTTACCTTTTCTCCCCAATACCTTTCACTCTTATTGACAAGTGCACATTCAGTAAGAACCAATCTCAAAGTGCCACCATCACCACAAAAGATGGAGAACAAGAAGAAGAAGAAGAAGGACAGGACACGCCTTAATTCCTCCATCTTGTCTCCTAGAACCCCCCTGTACCGAGATTCTAAAACCTGTGTTTTCACTCTATAATTAATCTATCTCTTCACCATTTATCCCTGTGTGATCCTCTCATCCTCATACAGGTGTTGTTTCCTGTGCAGGGTCAAAATCCAACCACCAAACACTTCTGGCAACGTTCCAGGACCTCCGAGCCCCCCAAGGGTGGTCTCGGTGACTCTGGACATCGGGAATGTTGTGCTGAGTTCCCACAGGCAGTAGCCTGGGTGAGAGGAGAAATGGGAGAAGATACTATGAGCCACAGGGGTCTGTAAATGTGTTGCATTCTGGAAGCTTCCCGGACTGTAGGATCTGTATCCAGCTGGGGAAGGTGGAAGAGGCTGGGTATTGCACTTCCAGCTTGCAGACTGTGTGTAATTCAAGTCTGTCTTGTTTGGATGAACACTTAGACACTGAAGATGCCTTTTGCATGGTTTTGTTTTGAACACTTTAAATGTGTGCTTAATCTAGAAAGCAGGTTTTCTAGGTCAACGAATCATTCTAAGAATAAGCATTAGGTTTAATTATTATCTACTTAGTCATGTATACTGAAGCACAAAGCATGTGTAGCAACCTCTTATTGCTTGTGGTATCTGTGCTGGTGTTCTTTCATGTTATAGTGGGTCTTCTCTTCCAGTTGGAGGTTGAAAGATTTAGTAGCTACTACCTACACTAGATGACAGCTGTTAAATTTATTTGGCTGTGCTGAGTCTTGTGCTAAGTTCTCAAATTATGCAGGGGTTTGAACTCCTAAGTTCCCTCAGACTTAAATATCAGCTGTGTACATAAATGTTCCTAGTGACATTTAGTTTGTATTCTCATAAATACAGAAGAATTGTCAAAGTGACAGTGTTATATATAAAATGTGCTCATCTTGGTCCAACTCTTACCTATGGTCACTCTTTGGTGTATGCTTATTGTGAAGGAAGCTATACAATAGTGCCTGTAGACAGCATAACAGTACATCTGTGTGCAGTAAAGACTTGGGTCTGTTGATCTTACAGATATTCATCCTATGAGGGAGGGAAAGTGATTAAAATCCTTTGTTACTGACTGACCTTTCGCTGTTCAGCTACAGTTCTAGTTCAGGGAGAAAAATCTATAATGAAAGGATCTAATACTTTAAACATTATAAAAGTAGGTTTGTTTTTTTTTTCTTCTGCTAGATCCTGAAGCCTGCTGTAATTTGGAGGCTCTTAGCCTTAAGATCACAACACTGCTTCCTCTCTAATCCTTTCATGTGTATTACAGAAGGAAGTCTTCCTCCTCACCTCAAAGGAATGTGTAGTTGGCATGTCTATAGGGTATCTGTGTTCTATTCCTTGAGCTGTTGAGATGCCATTGCTGGAGTCCATCACTCCAAATTAGTATAAGGAGTTCTTGCCTCTTTTGGACATAACAGAAGTTAGGTCAGTAATTAAAGTTAGAGTCAGTAATTTAAAAAATTTCCTCACTGCTTTGTGTTTTTTAAGGGAGAGGGAAGTTTATTCCCTTCCCTCTTCTTCCTTTTATAGCAAAATAGGTAGTTAGATGAACTAAAATACTACTATTTCTCATCTGCATTCACTCATGCTCTGCTTTTTAAAAGCTCTGGTAGAATGCCTAATTTGGCAGTCATGATCCAGCTTTGCTTGTTGTTTGCCATTGTCTAATGGATAAGACAGAATTATATGCTTCCTACTTGTTGAGTGATATCCTTTTGAACTGCTGTCTTATGGTGTAGACTGAATCACTGCTGCCAGTGTTAATGCTGCCTGACAGTATATGAAACTACTGTATGTGTCTCATACTGTGAGGATTTGTAATCTGTACTTTTTTCCAGTAAAACTGCAGGTTGGAAGTGTTTAAATATGCAGCTTGCCACTAGCTGCATGAAATTCTGATTTAGCCTAAGAGAATTTCCTCTCCCAAAAAATCCTTAGAATGAATAGTGTAAGGATAAAAAGAAGTCTTTGGGCTATTAAAATGTATAGTTTCAGACTTTAAAGCAAAAATACATCTCCTCAAGACTTCACAGTGGTGGCATTTGGAATCCAGTGTGAGGACCCAACTACCATCTAGAGAAATAAAAAGAAATCTGCCAGTTACCACTGCAGTTTGTTTATTTAACAACTGTTTGCCTGTGAGGAAAGTAATGGATTTATGAGTTCATGATTTCCAACAAACTCCTGTCTTGGGGATTGGGGGGAACATTGATTTGCACTATTGCCAGAAGAGCTTTTGCCCAACAAATATGATTTTGTCAAATTCTTAGCGCAGCTTTATTGTGTTCTATTTATAGTTCTCTGTGCTCTGCAATAGTGACTCCATGTTCACTGATGCAGTTCTTACTTGTTACAAAGTATGGAAGTAAACAAGCTAAGATATTTTAAAGGCATTGCACACTTCTGAATGGTTTTGTTTTTTTAAAGAGGAAAAAACTATACAAAGGCAACATAAACTGCAGAAGATCTTGTCTTAAGAGCAAATGTAAATATGCAAACTAGTCTTTTAGACTGTAATATTCCAAGTAATTATGTTCTCTTGAATTGATGTGGTTTTAGAGTAATGGAGATGATTATTCAGAAAAGGATTTAGACATAGCTGTAGGATCCTTTATATAAATAAAGGTATTTAAAGCACTATATATATATATACCATGAAGATATTTTAAGGCAATAAAAAACCACCATGCCTCTAGTAGAAAATACTTAGTTTTGTACCAGCTAGACTACCATGGCAGTCCAGGTGAAGTCACTGCACAAAGCAGTTCTGAAGAGAAAGGTTTTCTGATGGAAAACCTTTCAGCCCCCTCATGATGGTCGTGAGGGAATACATATCCTTACCATCAAAGCCCCTGTAGTAGGAAAAAGACTTTCAACTTTTCTCAGCATGGGGAGAAGAAATGGTGCTGGGGAGAGTAGTTCAAGGGTCCCATTTCATTGAAGTTAGGAATACAGTTATTTCTTGTTTTAGTATTGAATACTATGTGAAAACATGCTATAGTTACTATTTTAAGGTTAGAAACGTTTTTGTCAGAGTTTAAAAAGGATCTATATTGCTAAACAGATGAGATTGATGACTGATTAGAACCCAGGAAGCTAAAGAAAGAATGTGTCTTTAATAGCTACTTCAAGTGACTTCAAGTATGGACTGTTGCCGGGTACTTCAAATGACTTCAAGTACGGATTGCTGCCGGGTACTTCAAGTGACTTCAAGTATGGGCTGCTACCGGGTACTTCAAGTGATTTCAAGTATGGATTGCTGCCAGAATCTTGGCCAAAAGAAGCTTGGGAAAATGGTAAGTGTGTCTGATGGAGAGTAGGTAGAGGGTTAGGAAATTATTTAATCAATCTTCTTCCATATCATTTGCCTTTCTGGATAATGTACTTCCTTGGAGGGAGGAAAAGGAATTCAGATGTATGGAAGTGTAAAACCAGAATGTGATTTATATCAGTTCTAGTATTGTGACTCAGTGTGAAGGTACCTGAGGTCTTTAATAACGCGATAGCTGCCTGTCTCCTTAATAAGCTAAATACAGATAAATGGCCTTTGAAATTGAAAACTTGGATGGTGAAGATATGGAAATAAATATAATTTTAAAAGGAGATCTCAGCATATGTCTTGCTATTAAAAATAAAAAACTTCATTGCAATAAATGTTTTTAGTTTGGTGTAGCTGTAATTAAGCCTTTTTCTGTCAGTTCAAGCAAGCAGTTATCTGTAATTATTTTTCTGTCTGAAAACATACTGGAAATACCACCATATCTAAAACAATAGTTTCTAGCTTCTTACAATATGTAAAGTCTTCAGTAAAAAGAACATATTAAGTACTGGGTAACAGTAATGCTTACCTCTTTTCTTTAACTGAGCTGTTACTGGGATGTGCCTTATGGTTTATTTTAAATATTTTGAGGTTTACAGTAGAAGAAATGTGGTCATCAGAAGGTGAAATTTGCTGGCAGTCAAGAAATTAGAAGCTGGGTCTTAGGAAGTCTGCCTGTTCTTAAACCAATAAATTCCCATATATTTTACAGCCCTGATGTCTGCCTGCATAGGATTTACTTTTCTTCATGCAAGTCATTATGTGATGTTATGTGAACATGCAGCTCACATGAGTGCTCCAGTATGCAAACTTGTGAATATTAGCAAAATGTAACTTCCATGTTTGGATGGATTTAAAAGCTCAAAGGAGGCAACTCTAGAGATATGCCTGTGAGCATGTGCACATAATGTTCAATTACTTATGTTTTCTTCTTGCCAGTGTGAACACTAGAAACTCTTGCACATAATCAGGTAGCCTTAGCCAGTGCTTTTTGGATGCTTCTAGATGGTTATGATTATGTTCATAAGTTCTCACCTGTAGTAAGCTGAGTCAGTATGTTATTATCAAAATAATCTTTGTATTTCTGTGTGGCCTTCTCCACGCCATAGAATCCTGTGGTGTTCTTTTTCACACAGTAATAGGCAGCTGTATTAAACCTGTTTTGCATATATCCTTCAGGCAAACTATATAAAGAGCTCTCTTCCATCATAAGGAAGAAGTGAGATGTTGCTTCTTCCAGAAGTTTTTTCTGCTCTTTTTATTTTTTCTGCTGTTAGATCAAAGTAAAAAATAGGTAAAATCTGAACCAATAACTTCCCTTCTGAGAATTTCAGAATTTTGCTACCTCTTAGTGTCCTACTCCTCTTCTTACTTATACTTTTTTTAAGGTCAGATCTTGGTAGGCAGTTCCTGCATGTAATTCTAAATAGAATATGGGAAGAGAAGATTGCAACTGTCTAAATGCTGAGGGTTAGAGGGTTTCTAATCCAGAAGAAAATGTTTTCTGGTAGAAGTGACATCTAGGAAAATGAAATATTGGTAAATTGTAGTTAACTTCAGTTCATGAAATAAGATTTCCGTGGTAAAAATGACTTGATTACAAGTAGGTATTTTTCTAGTAGAATTGTACATGCAGAACTTAGCAACATTTTTGATTTCTGCAGACAGGCATTGTCCTGATTTCACTGATGAAAAGTCATGTGTTTTGCTTTATTGTTTTGGCACCTGTTTATTTTTGTGCACCAGACAGAACAAATTTAGATTATTTTTTGTGTGTTTCATCATCTTTTCTCCTCATGCTTCTTATCTTTTAGGCGATTCCTCTGCTTTAATCATGAACAAGTTGAAGTGTCCACACTGTAACTATGTAGCCAAATACAGAAGAACACTAAAGAGACACTTGCTCATTCACACAGGAGTGAGATCTTTCAGTTGTGACATCTGTGGGAAGCTGTTTACACGAAGAGAGCATGTAAAGAGACATTCCTTGGTAGGTAATCTCAAGTGTTCATGTATATGTATGCACAGGTATGAGTGGGGTGTTATGGGGTTTTTCAGGTGTTTTGGTAGTTGGAGCAAACTGTTCTCTGATTTGACATAATGTAAATTGTCTTATCTTGGATTTGAAATGGATGAAGATAAACATTTCTTGGATAACTGTGCCTCTCGTTTTCTTAATGGAAAATGCAGTGTCAATGAAGACAGTAATTTCAAGATTATTTTGAAAGTGATGTGATAAAGGGATGCAGTGTATATAAGTATTCTGTAGATAATGAAAAGCAGTTTTGTCTTAGTTTTACTGCAATAGAACATCACATCTTGGTCCAAAATGCTGCATCACTATTTTCTGTCAGGGCACCCTGTTAATTCAGCAATTGCACAATATCTTGAGGTAGTTCTGAAATGTTTATTTCACAACTAGACAAAGCTATAGTACAGTATCTGCTTTAAGATTAGGAAAGAATGAAAAATATCTGATGCAGAAAGTAAACATCTGTCTGACTTGCATTCTGCCAGTACCACAACCAGGAGTTCAGCTTACCCTGTTCTGTGCACATTGCATAACTCAGGATTTGATTTCAGTACTCATTTATCTGAGGATCCAGAGAAAGTTTTATCTGTCTTTGGTATTTTGTAGGTGTTTTATATCTAGTCTATCATGAAATTAAGATTCCATTATAATATATACTATATAAAATCCAAGGTGTGTTTTAGGGCAGTAATAAAAGCAAGACCATGTTGGTGGTGAGAAAATAATAACATTTTTCCAAGCTGTGATTTTAAAAATTCCTCTTGTTTTGCAAGATGTTTTGCAGATAGCTAGAAAAGGTTAGTTAGCACATGGAGTGGGTAAATTGCACATCTTCTAGGTGCTGGCCCTGGGCTGGGGCAGCTCTCAGTATCTGGAGAGGCTGTTGGGTGAATGCATCGAGAGCAGCCCTGCTGGGAAGGATTGGTGGGCGAGAGGTGGGACATGAGCCACCAGTGTGCTCTCTCACCCCAGACAGCCAAATGTATCCTGGGCTGCATCCAAGGCAGTGTGGCCAGCAGGGTGAGGAAGGGCCTTGTGCCCCTCATGAGACCCCACCTGGAGCACTGCATCCAGCTCTGGGGTCCCCAAAACAGGAAGGACATGGAGCTGTTGGAGCTACTCCAGGGTAGGGCTATGAAAATGATTGGAGGGATGAAGCACCTCTCAGATGCAGAAAGGCTGAGAGAATTGGGGCATTATTGCCTCATTGATGGCCATGCTCCTTCCTTTGTGGCTCACTGAGAAGATGGCAGCAGTGGGAGTTAGCTGGTCTACCAAGAAGAGTAGAGTGGGACTTCAGTTTTCTGTCCTGCATTGTCTGACCAGGACTTGCAGCTGAAGATTTTTTTTCCTCCAGGAAAGGAGATGAAGTCAGACAATGTGAAAACAGCTGTGGAGTGAGCTCAGAGCAGTTCTGTGCTTTAATTGAAGTGTTCTTTCTCTGACGAAGTCAGAACACTTTTTTTCTGGATGTTTTTCCCCCCCTCCCTTCCCCTTTCAGCTCAACAAACCTCAAACATTCTGCCTTGTGTGAAGTGTTATAACAAGTCTAGAGGCTGAGGAAGGCAGACGTATCAGCTGTACAGACTATACAGCAGAGCTGAAGTAACTATTTGTATCATGACCTAATTTATTTTTCCCCTCATTTAGGTGGTAATTTCTTTTATCTAAAATTGCAACTTTTTCAATGGGACTTCAAATTAGATATTTGAGCACATAATTGTAATCTGTTGTGGGAGCACCAGATAGAAGAAGGAAGTCTTCAACTTCATTTTTTCATAGATAATAATTAATATACATGGTTGCTGAATTCAGTTACTTGTACAAGCAACATACTTCCAAATTCAAAATCAAAATTTATGGTTAGTCAACAGCAGCCTTCTAATTTTACACACAGACTCAAATACAGGACAAAAAACTTACCTAAGCGACCTGGAAAGCTGATGTTAATTTTAATAGTGTTGGGAAGGAGAAGTCATGGAAGAATAATTTTGCTCTTTGAATTCTTGAATATAATAACTCTTGTTTGTTCTTAGTATTTCTAGAATTTAAAATTGTAAAAAGCAATTTTCTAAACGACCTATCTTGTGTGCAGTGGAAGAGTTTGAGCTGCTCTCATTGCTTCTGAGTCTTGTTCTGTACCCTGAGGAGATGTGAACTGAACACTCTCCTGTGTAGAGAACAGGCGACCTGCTGAGCTCCTACAAAGTGGTTTGTTTGTGGGCAGTAGCTCATATCTGCTGAGGAATACATAAATAGATCTCCAGTAATCCTTCCTTACTCTGAATAGTGTTTGGTATCTTTTGGAAAAGTTAAAAATAGGAATTTTTATATTAATAATTATTATTGTTGTTGTTAATAGTTTTCTAGTACTATATGCAGATGTAACCTGATATGCCTATATTCAGCTGTTAAAATTTCTCTCCCATAGGTGCATAAAAAGGATAAAAAGTACAAGTGTATGGTGTGCAAGAAGATTTTCATGCTTGCAGCCAGCGTTGGAATAAGACACGGCTCACGGCGTTACGGAGTTTGTGTAGACTGTGCAGATAAATCTCAGCCTGGAGGGCAGGAGGGAGCAGACCAGGCGCAGGACACAGATTTCCCTAGGGATGAAGAGTACGAAGAGAATGAAGTGGGAGAAGGCGATGAGGAGCTGGGTGATGATGTAGAAGAACAGAACGAGCAGTCGCGGTGGGATGAAGGCGGGGAAGTCTGTATGCCTTTAGATGACTGACGGAGCACGAGACTTCAGGGTGCTGCAGGTGGACACTGTACGGATTGACTGCTTGAATTCTGGGACTGAAGGCTTGCGAAATATGGTACAGGCTGGATGGTAGTTATGTTGCTGTGAAAATGTAGGGTCAAAGCCTTATAGCGCAAAAAAAGGATTATTAATTTTTTTATGATATTTGCACAGGACTGTACAGCATACAACCGTTTGGTTGAATTATACAGAGTCCTCACATCTACAGTCAGTTATCAAAAGAAAAATGTATTTTTTATTATTTATAGGCTATAGCTACTTGGGTCCTATTCAGACATAGTAGTAACTGTAATTATGTTGCACATTCATGTACCTGTTAACATGAATGAAGAAAATTGCAATTTGGTATGGAAATACAAAGACAGCTTTCCCAAATCCACTCGTACTTTTGTCAGCGAGTCAGTGAAGCTAATTCGGGCTGGTGGCTCGTTTTCCACAAGCATGTCTTTGCCATACAAACCTTACCTCTCCTGTAATCTGATAGGTGAAAGCCAATCATTTAAATATGTGTCACAGATATTGCCAACACCATATTGAAATTTGGGTTGAAAACTTTTGGCTCTATGCTGGCAGGTGCTATGGGTGATAAGCACTGGAGAAGTTTTTAATGGCATTAATTTAGTGTCTGTTTTTAAAGAAGGTTGTTGTTGATTCATCAGTTTTAAAATGACGATGCAGAAGAAATGACCAGTAATGAAATAATAGACTGATCAGAGCATGGGTAACTCTTGTGCCACTTAGTCAAAAGAGACAGTCATGCTAAAAGGTATCTGATGTAATAATGTTTCTTCTCTCTCCTAAGGCCCCCCTTCTCTCAAAATTTTTTTTGTTTCCCTGGTGTATACCTCAGTCCCACAGAATAAAAATGCAAGGAATGGAGAAAGTGTCATATTAAAACAACTTTTTGGTCAATAATTTCTTACTTGTCCGTTTTTTGGCTAGTTTATGTGATATGAATTGGACACTAGGCTATTGTGCCCATCGTTCATCATTGAACACAAACTATTTTTTATTCTTTTGTACTTCATGGGTTGTTGTTAGTATTTAATATAAACAAACTACATTTAACTTGCTCATTTGCTGGAATTTTTTTTAAGAAAAACAAGTCCAAAGGAAAAAATGCTCTTTGAGTTGTCTACTTTTCAGGAGGATATGCTCCCTATGCTCTTTGTTTCAGATTTTCTAGGAGGCATTGAAACTTGAATTTTTGTAGCCACGTAGGTTTTTTTTCTTTTTGTTGGTTTTTTTTTTTTTTTTCTTTTTCCTAAGCTTGTAATATTGTACCAATGATTTCAGGCCCCTTTCATAGGGAGGGGAGGGCATTACACCTTCACCTTAAACTCCTCTGTGTTGTCTAGCCTAAGGCAAGTTAATTCAGGCAATCATTGGAACAATAAGTCTGATGTACTATTATGTCACAGTGAGTAAATATGCAGAGCATTTGTCATGACACGTAGCTAGGCCAGTGTGACAGTACTGTATAAAAAACAATTGAGGGTCACCATATTTTTCAACTTTGTTTAATTTTAAAATGAGTATATTTTTTCCTATTTTATGTCAGGTAACTAAATTATGGTAGTTGTGTGGATAACTTTGAATTATGCTTTGATGGACAAAATCTTACTGGTGCTCCATCTGATCAGAGTTGGTATGTATTTAAAGAGACAAGCTTTACTGTTGTCCATAGAACAGTAACAAAATGTTAAGACATTGTTTTTGCTGATGGAAACTGAGATGATAAGTTTGAACTACAGTTATATGGGAATTAAAATGCTTTTTTGTATCATCCACTTGTTTCATTGGTAGTTTCCACATCATTGTAATCCTGACATGAATAGTTTTTTTGGGGAGGGTGGGGAGGGCAGGGTACCTTTTTTACACTGAAGATTACATTTTATTCTCATTGTTCTAGACTGAAATGAGTAATGTGTAATTCTGGTGGGGTCCAAAGTAGAAATTAGTTGGGCAAAGATGATATGAATGAAAAAGTATTTTAAACATTAAAGTAATGTTCTGCTTTGTGAATATGTAAGTATAGCATAAAGATTTTTCCATCCCATTTATCCCTTTTAAAACCATAGTTTACAATTGGTAGATCTGTCTATATATAAATATATATATATCTGAAATTCACCTAAATCTGCTTTATTAGAATACTGCTCACTTAATGCTTAGAAACTGGACCTGGCTCTACATTCTTAATGTATTTTCCTTTTTTTTCCCTTTTGTTTTGTTGGGATTTTTTCTTCAAGGTATGAACTTGGAACTGAATCTTCTTTTAGTACTTAAATCATTTATGTATATCTGGTAAATTATGACCAAATTTGTTGTTAGACTGCATTACAGTAAATTGAAATATACACTTGGTACACTACAGAATTGTTGTGCTTTTGTTCTGGTTCTGTTTGGAAAAGCAGGCCTTAGCAAACATTTGTGTTATTTATAATTATTCAGTTATTATTCACTGGCCTTAATATTCTGTTGCATTGTGACAATCATAATTTCCTTGGTAAAGCTTAACTGCTTGCTTTTACAAGTTGCATGTAATTGCCCATGGTAGGTTGGAGAGAGGGTGACTGTCTCTAGCAAATGGTGTGAAATACTCCAGTGCAGGTTCACTCTTCTTGTCTTGGAGAACCATAAGAATTCAGGTGCTATCTCCAGTCTGGCTTTTCTGAGTTATTTTATTTAGAAGTTCTTTTAAATGTGTTAGCTTGATTTGGTATTGTTCTAAATTAATTAAAAAAAAAAACTTCTGAAGAATTAGTTCTTGAGAGACAGCTCAAGTTTCTTCACTATTATAAGAATTAGGAATAGATTTCTCTTTGTGCAAGAAATTCTTTCCCTCAAGAAATGCTGAAGTTGTGCTGTAGTAACACAGTAATGGATTTTGTCTGTTTTGGGATTTTTTTTTCCATTTTAAAATAAGACTGATGCCCTTAAAATGTCATATTTATCAAATGAAAAGATATTCAGTGTTTCATTTTGTCTTCTGATGAAATAATTCTCAACCCAAATGTCTGCAATTTGTGTATTTGGGCAATGCCACACAAGTAGTTTTATAAAAAGAATAATGCCTATTATTAAAACAAACAAAGTTTGTCTGATGTTGGGATTCCCCATTTCTGTGAGGGTTTTTGTTTTCTTTCTGCTCTCTTCAAGCAGTAGTGGGTATCTTTTAGAGATAATCATACAGAGCAGTTTCTAGCAGGGCACTGTGATGCAGGACAAAATTTTAATTAGTAAGTAAATTCACTTTAGATTCACAAGTAGAAGTTCTGGTCAAAGTAGGTCAAATGATGTAAGGAAGACAACATAAAATGTGTTTGCCTTATGTCAGTGTTACTACAGTGCATTAGAAAGCATTTTTCAATGGCAATGACAGATGAATCTTGCAGGGAAAATGGCATTTTCCAATTACTTTTAGACAAATTTTGTAGTTCAGTTTCCAAACAATCCTCTAGTAAAGTAATTTCTGCTGTGAAACCAGTTTTGAAAACCAGAAGTTGCATTTACTTGTCAGCATGCATCCTGAGAAGTATGAGTTGCAGTTACTTGTTCCCACAGTGCACGCCTGGTTTTTGAGATGTGCAGCCTTCTGCAAATGCAGTTTTCAGGTATCACTACATGTCACTACTTTCTCCTGACAAGAATAAGCATTATCAAGTGAAGAAAAGTTGGGGCCAGGACAGTGGCATGAGGTATGCTGCTAGTTGTGGGTCACAGCAGTAATGCTGTTAGCAGAAGATGCTTTCCTTCCTAGCTTTAAGTTGGTAAGGCTTTTAATAGGATTTGCTTTAATGAGGCCAATCTCGGTTGTTAGCTTGCTTTTAAGTTGTGTTTCACTTGATTTTTCTTGCTCTTGCCACCCAGTAACACAAGTCTCCCACCTGTTCCAAAATACTTTTGTAGTCTGCTGATTCCACATAGATGCAAAATTCACTTTTGGAAGTACTGTACCTTGTTTGCTGTTCCTTTTTTACTTTGTTGTATTTACATGGCTTTAGGAACTGAAAAGAAAGCAAGACAATTGACACCACCACCAGCCCAAAAAACTTGTGCCAAAAGAAGAAAGGAGCAAAATGTGGAGTGCAATGTAATAAGAAAAAGGCTGTTTTGAGTTTGCATTGTTACAACTCCTCTGGTTTGTTACTTGAATGTTTTGGACAATTCACTGTACTTTTCTCTAGCACTAGTTGGTGACCACCTTCTGATGAAGAAGCTATGCAAGAAGCCCAGTTTTGAGTTTATTCAGTGTCTTCAGAATGTGGTTCAGGCTCTGCAGAGGTAGTAGCACTGAGTAGCTTTCTGGAGATATTTTACTGTAGATCCTTCTCTTAGCATCCCTCCTCACTGTGTGATCTGTTGCCCAATTTTTATTTGATAAATGTTTGCTCCTTTGTCTTTTATATGTTTTAATAGCACATCACTGTGCATTGCTGAACAGTATGGTAAAGGTTAAATATTGACACAATGGATAAAGAGAAGTAAGTTGGTTTTCATTTAGGATCTTAACAAACCTGTAATAAAATAATTCCTATGTAATGAAGAAAATACAGGTTTGAAATCCAGGGGAAGGGGTGTTGCTGAGCAGAACCCTTTAACATTAAAGATTCCATGTATAATTCATGGGTTGTAAAAATAATTTTATGTGGGAAAAAACTTAAAACTACACTAGAAAGATCGTTAAACTTGAAAATAAAATTGGCTTACAAGTACTCTGTATTTGACATTATTGCAATTTGAAGTGAATGTTTTAAATAAGCTATACATGTTTCTTACCTGAATCAATTGGGTTAGCCACTTCAGGATACAGATAAAAGTAATAACTTTTCACTAACATTTTGGTGTGTAAACATAACTTCAAGACTTCTAATAATACTCTGTGCACCAGTCTTTAAGTTACCATGCTGCAAATAAATTGAAAAAATAACCATTTTGTTCTATTTTTCTGTGCCTTGCCTCTTCACCCTCCACAAGTAGATGAAGAGAGATTTCTTTGGATGGCTAAGTGTTAACATTTAATACTAAAAAACCCAACAACTTGCTGCAAATAATTTCTGCTTCTGACATAGAATAGAATTTGTAGAAAATAGCTGTTATTTTAAGCTGTATTTTTAAACTTTTTTCATAATAAAGCAGTTTTAGACATACATTATGATGCCAACTTAAAGATGACTAGTTTCCAACAAGCAGAATCTAGATAAGGTGGTTATACCTAAAACTGGGGTTTAGACAAACTACTGCAAAGCTGAGCAGGTCACAGATGGGGTACTTCAGCCCCAGGGTAGTGCATAGCAGAAAGTTTGGATCCCCTCAGAAATGCTGCAGTACTGTGTGTGCTCAGAGGCTTTCTCCTGCTGTTTCCTTTCCTCCCTCCAGCTCCACCATCCTAAGAATTTTGGACCAAGTGGTTTCAGCTGGGTTTATCAAAAGCTTCTTGTCTGAACAATTCTGCATACATGTTTAAACTAGTGCTTTGGCTTCTGTTATCTTCTAAAGGTGGGTTATTTTTGGTAGATTGTACACAAGTGGGTTTCTTCAGTTAGATGATCATCCCTTTGGGTCTTTGAAGGGTTTGAACACTGAAATTTTCTGTTTGCCCTGTAGAGAAAGCTTTAGGTGTGATAATCCTGGACAGGCAAGTCTGCCTGTGTGTCTTGACTGGGATACCAGGGGTTACTGAAGACCAAAGGCCTCTGTCTAGTTAGCTTTTCCTATTCCCTGGATCTGCACATCTGATTGTACCTAGAGCAGTTGAGGAAATGGTCTCATGGGGGACTAGAGCTTCAGTTTGGGAAGAGCCTGGAAAATAACTTCTAGGCCATTGAACAAATAACTTCAGCATTATTTTTAATTATCTGAATGGTGTTTCTCAGAGAATTGTCTTTAGACTTGAATGTATTTTAAGTTTG